TCACTTGCTGACAGATTTATGTCAACACACACAGCTTCCATAATGCGCATCTCTTGCGCTCAGCCCTTCCTCGATACTTGACAAAGCCAATTCCCCTGTATCCGGATCGATGGGCCAAACATAAGGGGCAAGCAAAGCGGCTCCGAGAGGCTAATGCGGGTAAGAAGACACAAAAAGCCAAGGCCAAGCAGCTTGAAACAAGGAACCAGACCGCCAAGGCTGGCTCAGCACGGTGGCATCCTGTTACAGCCATGGCAAGTAGACAGAAAACTCAGCAGACCATCGTGATGCCGCCTGCCGATGACCAAAGTGACGTATCAGAATACGACGATAAGTCAAGCGATGAGCCGGAGGATGTGGATGTGGATTTGTTAAGTGTAGCGTCATCGGACGCAGAACTCGAGGAGAGTGGCGGCAACAAGATGGGGCTCTCAGATGATCACAACTCAGACACGGAAGAAGACCCTGAGCCTTCTCGCAAACGCAAGAGAGCATGACCGCATCTGTATTTATGACCGTGGTATATACAGGGCGTTGTTACTACATGCCGATAAACTCGATTTGAAAAGCATAAACTTCTACATTATCTTCGATACATGAGTTGTACAAACCATGCGAAAATAATCGCAATCCTTGGGCAGGTATCCAGCTGGACCTGTTGGGTGACTGTCGTGTGACCCACTACCTGGTGACCAGATGAGCTACCACATGGTAGCCAGACCTTACCGGCTGTCTGGTAATCATACAAGAGAGACGCTTCAGCCATCTGATCGCTCGGGTGGCTCACGGTTTAGGCGCGGGTGTGGACTCTACCTGGGCGAAAATTGGCGGTGTAGCACAAGTCTATTGCACTCAGCTCGCACACAGAGAGAAGTGGGACGTCCTTCAGGCCACCAACGCAAATCCGACAGTAGATAGATGCCTTGGGGTGAATTTCGACAATGACATGACAAGTGCGAAGGTATCGGAATGACCTGCATCTGGCCTGCCGCTATCGCCCAGATGCAGGTGATAGCTGGTGGGCGGGCGATGACAACGGCGCCAAGAGTGCTTGTCGTTTTCGTGACAGCGGGACCAAGCTAGCGGTGTGGCATCATCGGTTTAGCAAGGGCGTGACTTCGTGGCTTTCAAAACCGAATGTACGCGCGTGTGAGCAGGAGGCATAGGGCAATGTTGGACCCATAGCCACTCTGACAGTGCGGCCGCTAGATATGTATGGTTCAAACAGAAGTTCAATATCAGGTCGTGCAGGGGTGCAGGTTGGCGTTGTCGGTGTCGTGAGGCGATGAAATGGAGGCGAAGTTTCGGAACGATCAGCTACTGGTGTCGGTCCCCATATATGACGGTGTCCTGGGCACATATAAGACTCAAGCAAGCATCAGAGCATTACGTACCACTGCCCACCAGCCCGTCTCAAGCTTGAACTCGTCGCTCACCTCCTCAACATACAGCTTCTTGTCAAAACTGCCCGCCCAGCCGCAACTCCGTAAATCCAGCGTAGCTCAAATCAGGCACCGTGGAATTGTACCGCCCAACGTCGGTGAGGCGTTGCTCGAGCGTAGCGTGCTGCTCTTGCCTTCCTGGCAACGATTTGTCTCGTGTATTGGCAGAAGGACGAGGTGTAACATTAACGCGTCGGCTTCAACAAGTGACGAAGAGTTGAGAGGGCAAGTCTGCACAAGGAACATAAGGCTAGCTGGAGGAAAAACACTGGCTGTATACGTACCGTCGGTCAAGGATACACAGGCTGTGGAAGGAAAGTAAGAGGAGAGTGGATGCCACTGAATGACGTGGGCGCTCCGACAAATATTGACAAATACTCACGTGACGGCGTCGCGGACGCGACGCGCGATTCCAATAATCAAAGCATCGCCGCTTACAAGTCCTGGGCTCAGCGCACGTCCTGCACAGAACACGATATTTTCATACATACATACACTTTCGTGTCTTGCAGGATATAATATAATAGCAACTGGAGGTCATATAGTCTCGACATCACGCGTCACATACCGACGACAGCTGCCCATCGCATTCTCCATTATACTGACGCGTTAAGCCAAGTGTATGAATGTTACCACTATCAAAGTGCCCCTCCGCATTTCAAAAGCTCGCAGTGAGCCGCTTTTATCAAACTAAGCTTTAATCGGACACCTGTGCGCGCTCAGCGGCTGGCACTATCGCTTTCCCTGTTCCATGAAGGTTCTGGCCAGCTATGTTTTAGCATTGCGGCCACGGCAGGGAAGAAGAGCGTCATGGGCGATATAAGAAAGGAGAAGACGTTGTAGGATCTCTGGAGGTACGCGGGTCCGGAAGGCTAAAGACCATATCAACAGACCCATTGCTAATAACGGCATGCAGCTGACCAAGTGTACAACAGTCTGTACAACAGCTTGGAGAACCGATTACGGCGTGAGAAGGGCACATTGCTGTTGAGGGACTAACATTTTTATTGACTAAGCACATCGCATTTCGAAGATGCGACGCGAACCATGGCGTCTGCGTTGGCTGGTCAGATTGTGCTACACAGCCTGCGAGAAAAGCTATCGTGTATGGCTGGTGAGTGCCAGAGGGATTGCAGCGCATCTCGTGTCATCCCAATTCGGGCATGGCGGCCGCGACAGCTATATCTTCTCTCTTTAGCGCGTCTGCGACTAGGGCCCTGAAGAAAGTCTGTGAACTAGAGATGCGACATGAGGTCACAGTACGTACCATTCAGGCTAGAACGTTCGTCTGACGCCAATCTACAGCCAAAGAAGGGTCTGGTCCTATCAGCTGAGTATCAGCTCAAAGCAAAAAGTGCGCAGGCAAGGCACAGCCCCGCACCGCCCATATTCAGGCAAGTCTAGAAAGTGAATGGCGACGCCGAACGATTCGGAATGACGGCATGCAGAAAGGGCGCGGTGGGACAACTCTTGGCCGCTGGACGCCCGTAAGTATGATGTCTGTACGCGGAATACCGGTACCATTGTAAAGGAAACATGGACTTTGACCACGTCGGCGACGATATTGACGACGACGAAGGCAACATGAGCGATACTGGCTCTTATCATGACTTACCCTGCGCAGCTTGCGAAAGTGACCCGTTGCCGTCATAAGCCCCGCAAACTAAGCAACATGGAGACTCTGTACTGGGAGCTCGGCAGAGCGAGTCTAAGGACGCAACCAAGTTGTGTCGCCTAGTTCACTCAAAGTGAAGAGAATAGATAACAAGCAAGGAACCACGGAAGCGATGTTCGTGCTACCTTTCAGCTGAGTAGCCTCGACGAAATACAAGCCGCAAGCTTGGCCCGAGCGCTCTCAGCTACGCTGGCGCCAGCTACGGGCTGTCCGGGGTCCACTAATATTAGCTGATTTTCTCCTGCCATCGTCCACATCGTCAAGAAGGCAGTGTATGGCAGCAGCAATCCAAGTGAGTACACGAATAAAGTCCACCAGATAGCAACAATTACACAAAATAGAAGAAACACCTATTCTAGACCCCACTAAGAGCCCGTGACGTGGTTTATCCTCGGTTTAACCTCCCGAATGCCACCTCGCCCACCACGCTACCCGCAATGATAGAGATGATATAGCTAGCGTTGAACGTCCTACACGCGTATAGAGTATAAGCTTCCGTCACCCCATAAGCAGGAAGCAACGACGTACATCGCAACAAGCATGAGAAGATAGTGCAGCGTTGTATCAGCGCCATTCAGGACACCGCGGGCGAGCTCGTTGGAAAGTATAAACTTGTTGTGCGGCGCCGCTGGATAATCCACGGCCATTTCCCCAGGTTCGCCTCCCTTTGATATGCTGGCTCGATCGTCTGACATCTCACTATCGACGCGCCTCAGAACCAAACGGCGGGCACTGCAAAAGATGCAGCCAGAGTACCGGTCAGCAACCGCATTTGAAAAGGATGTATCTCGGCGACATACCGTGCAGTACAGCGCATTTCTACTCCTCTGCGGAAAGCTCGGAGCCAGCAATAGAAGACGGAGATGAGGAAGAAGATCAGGCAGGCACCAAAGATAGCCTCGCCCGAGGACGGGGCAATGGTGTCGAATAGGACAGTGTCGCCCGGAGTGAAGTGTAGATACATACTCATCATGGCCATGGACATCGATGAGTCTGACGCTGTTGAGTTGGACGACATCGTCGAGTTGGAGCCCATCGAGCCGCTGTCGGTCATGTTCATCGAGTCCATAGCGCTACACTGGCAGGGAAGGGGGGCCTGGTTGCTTTCTGGGCGAGCACACATAGTTATCAGAAGTTATCAGCTGCCCCGTTCTATGGGCGGCAGAGGTACTCACAAGGGCCGCTCGGCCAAACAAAACAGGGAAAAGGTTTTGTTGCCCATGTCTCCTGGCACGGACAAACCCCGAATCTAGATCCCGTAGATCTCAGCGTCGATTTCAATGCATGCCAGAGTAGCTAGTTGCATCAGCATGTCGCGGCCCTGTTTTCTTTGAAGGTTTAGCACTGTTTGCTGCGCTAATTCACTATTCCGCATGTAGACCCAATGCGCTTGCGGGGGGACGATACTTAGGCTTCTCGTCCGCTCTGCGCTTCTTGTCCTGCCTGGGCTGTCTTCGACCGCAATTCCTCTCCCTCACTAACTCTCTCAGCCCATCGCAGGTACTCTTCAAGTTCGCCATGGGCAAGATTTGGTTGGAGCGCCCCATCCTCTGGCACTCGTCTCGAGTACCTTCAGGATATGACTACTCTATGATGACCCCAGAGCAGATTGCTCTCATCGGGGAGCGCTGGCACGACGTACGTGGGCCGTCTTCACATTTCGACAAAGAGGATCATGAGCTGACGGCGTTATGTTTAGTGGTACACCGCGGACTGGGACTACGGCCTGACCACAGTCGAGTTTTTCTGCGCGGGTATCGGCACCATGATGTTGCTGTATCTCGTCTCCCTCTGGCGCCACCGGGCTAGTGCGCGCAGGTTGGTGGTCTTCTCCCGCTCTTTTAGCGGCTGTGACTTATGAATCGACTATTGTGCAGAACGAGATCCACTCCTTGCGCTGCGGGTGTTCTGGACAGAGTCACAGCCGCCTTTCGCTATGTCACCTCTATGCAACTACGCTATAAGCCTCTGGGCTATTACTCACCACCCATGGGCTCCGTTGTCGGCGTTGCGGGAATTTTTACCTTTGTCATGGGTGCGCTACATCTATTCACAGGTTCCCCTAGATTTTGCGTTGAACGTTGATTTTTCAAAGCGTTTGCTCTCGCCGTTCGCCCGTACTACTGGCCAAACTACCAAATGGGACATAGCCCCCCGCTCGCGACCCGCTCTGGCTGGATTTCTATCGCTATTATGCCGTTTATGATGTGCGTCAAGCTCTTACTGTACCAGTTTTTCGCCGTCTGATTGCATGGCTTGCAGTGCCTTTGCCACTAAGGTCATTACGTCGGCATCATCACCGGCGCATCACACGAGAGGCTTCAAGTATTCCACCGGTGGTCAGCCCTATTAATGTGTAAGCAGCCCCGCAACTTTCTTCGCAGCGAATGGTGCTCAGAGAATTTTCTTAGATATTACTTCTC